TGTTTTTAAAATCAGGGTTATTGTGCAGATTTTCTATGAGGCTACCAACTCTAAGGAAAACAGCTTCAGGAATATTATATGCCCAGTTCTCCATAGTGCAATCTTTTTAGAAAATCAGTACAATACTCTTGATGAAGGAAAGAATGCCACACAGTTCTCTTGAATGGGGCAGGCTTACTCATTAATGAAAATAGGGGGTCTTTGTCCATACATGCAAAACAGGGGTGGCTAACCTGTGTCTCTCCAGATGTTTCTGGCTTCCAACTCCCTCCAGTCCCGGCCCACATGGCCAATAGTCAAGAATGATGGGAGGTATAGCCCAACAACATCTGGAGGGCAAAAGGCTAATCATCAGTGAAAGGAATACACATGGGGATTGGTTAAGAACATAAAAGATGAGCCCTGCAGGATCAGATTAAGGGCCCATCTAGTTCAGCATCCCGCTTTCTACAGTGGCTGAGCAATTGTCTCTGGGAACCAAAAATCAGGGCTTGAAGGCAACAACTCATCTCCTGCTGTCACTCCCCAGCAACTAGAACTCTGAGATATACTTCTAGTGGACTTCCGGGGTGGCCGCTAATGGAGACGGAGTGAGAGCTTTAACTTCCGGGAAAGCTCGATCGTTGAGAGAGTATTGGGGAGGGCGCTGTGCACCCCAAAAGAAGCCCAAAAGGGAATTTTGGGCGCAGAGCTTTCGCAGTGCAATTTGTGGGCTCTCCTGTCTTCCCCACCACGCCACTTCCTGGCTTTGCCACAAACGTGAAGTGGAACCAGGGGACAATCACAGAGGTGGCCCTACTATAAGGTAGTAAGGTCCCGTAAGGTGGGGCAGCTCTCTCTGGGAGATGTTGGGTGAGACTAAAGGGTGGCAGGTGCAGGGAGATCTCTGACCCATGGAGATCCACCAGGAAACTCTATTGCACAAACCTCACTGATATGAGGTATGTAAATAAATAAGAAGTGTGGGTCCCACTCCATTAAGCCTGTACAGGAGAACTCCTTGGGGACTGTGCTTCATATTCATTAGTGACTGGGAGGGCATGGCTCTTTGGATTTCCCACCTCAGGCAGCAAAATCCCTTTGGAGGCGACCCTGTAACCTATCCCAATGCTCCAGATGTGGGGCAGGGAAGACCCATCACTGCCATGAACAGATGAATGGTCACAAACCATTCAGGTAGCACAATCACAGGTGGCCAGGAGGATTATTATAACAAAAAGACATGCTATTCATATATGCAGCATAGACAAGCTCCACTGCTCTCCAGTGGGCATGGATTCACCGGTCATATGACACCTAGAGACTGAGAGCTGGGTGGGCCGGCCTATCAGACAAAAGTGGCCTTGCAGAGGGGAAGAGTGGCCACTTTAGGATCTGGTCAGCTGGACCAAAGTGATTTCCCACCTGTGGCACAGAGCAAGGAACGGGGCTGTGCTTTTCATCCCTCCCCCACTGCCACATCATCCCACCACCCTAATAACCATGTTTTTGTTATTTGCCATCCTGGTTTTCTTTAGGAGGAAAGGTGAGATAGAGACTTTAATAACAATAATAGTAGTAATTTTTGTGCACCATTGTGTGGGTAGAAAGCTGAATGCATGAGCTCCTGCTTGTGAGTAGGACTTTGCACTGTCTGGGCAACTGATTATTTGGGTGTCCTAATTGTTTGGAGCCGCTCCTTGTGAGCAGGAGTTCACAAACTTGGCTTCCTGCTCACAAAACTGCATGCAACACATAGTTAAAAAGCACCGACATTGGAGCAGAGCTAAAAGGACACCCCTACTCCTTCCCGTACACCTAGGTAACATGTCAACAGGGCTACTTATTGCTTCTTAAGACATGCCGCAAAAGCTATCTGTTGGGAAAGACAGCTTTTCAAATAGATACCAAAGCCATATCGCTCTTAAGAGGCTGATGCCCCAGTAGAAAATCCCAGTCAAGGTCTCTGATTCTATCAAAATTGTATTACGGCATATGAGGGTAAATAGGAAATCAATGACTTTGGTTCCCTTTGACTTAAATTAAAGCAAAGAAGTGCAGCCATTGATGTAATGAAAAAGGGTCATGGCCAATCTAATAAGTGCCCAGAAGAGGAACATGGTTAGTGCCTCCTAATTAATCTAACTCCAGGATATTAAAAAAAAAAAGAAGCCCTCTCAAATCAGATTAAGGCTGCTCAGGGAAGGCCAGTGGCAAATATTTATTATTTAATATTCTGGTTATTGGAGCCTCAGGCTTACTAGGGGGAAAACATCTTTCACTGGCTTCATTAAGTGCAAATGGGAAATTGTACTGAGCTAATTTCAGAGACTGATCTGGTAGCAGGGAAATGAGTAGGCATCACAGAAGCTCAGAAGGTCTGGGATTTGTAGAAGTGCAGAGAGAGGGAGTAGGCAACCTAGTCAAACATTCAAGGAATTCCAGCTTTTTTTGCCTACCCCAAAATTCATCACAGGAGGGTGGACAATGAAGGTGCTCTATACTCTCCTATTACTTTTCCCATTTGTGCTGGGACCAAGGAACCAGAAGGTGGTTCCTTGTAGTAGCATATAGTTATCATTCATTCAAGGTAAACCAGCCCTCACATTTTCTTCTCACCAGATCACTGCCACTCATAACATTTTGTGAAGTACATGCAATTTTATCATCTTCAGTGTGCAGAAATAAAAATTAAGGGAAAAGGGTCATATTCCAGTAAATCCAAGGGTCAGCCTAGATCCTTGATTAGATGTAATTGTCCTATAGATTTCCTTTTCTCACTCCAATCACAATTTCTGGCAGGCAGGTGCAACAGACAGGTGTTCTCATCCAAATTTTGCAAAGAAGAAATGGTCAGGGAAAACTTTCATCACCATCATTAAGCTTAGCATATGAGAGCATTCAGATCGTCTCCCACACATTTGTCATAATCCTTACAAGGGCACTCTTTTAAGACCAGCCCTGTACCAGACACCTTACAGACTCAAACTAACAACCTGCTGGTCTGTAGTTTAATACTCAAGCCACTATACCACACCGAATCATGACTAGGTGATGGAGAGAACTAAGGAGTAAAGTGTAAAAGGATGAGAAGCTCTGAGGGAACTGGGAGGGTTACATCTGACAGGCTAAAAATATGGAATATTGTCAGAACAAAAGGCACAAATGCTACTTTAATTATTTCAAATAAAAGCTGCTGCCTCTGTTTGATGCTGCAGGAAAGTGCCTCTAGTGTGCAAGCAGGGAAGTGTAGCCCGACAGAAAGGCAGGAATTGGTTCGTGTGAGTGTGGCTTAATATGTTGCAAAACCCATACATGGAATGTATTTTTTACTGCAATCAACACGCAACATGTATTGCTGGGTATACATAGAATTGCCATGTAGCTTATAGCCCTTGACAATTTTGTGCATACCCAGCAATTTACACAGTTATGGAACTGTACACGTGAAAGGTTGTGTTCAGCTCAGCGCTAAGGCTAAGGCTCCATCAGCACAGGATTTTCCTTGCATGACAGAGCCTCCCCCCATCTCCTATCCCTGTGACCTCCTAAATCTGCTCTGGGGTTTTCCCCAACCATCCATAACAGATTTGAGGGTGGGGTGAGGCACGCCTGGGGCTGGGTAGGAGATGGGGGAAATTCCCATCACGGAATTTCTTGGAGATCCTTGTGTTGTCTCCTGCTATCACAAAACTTTAGCTGAATATGGTCTGAAGTCTCTTCCCCTTCCACCGCCTCCCCAGTGGGTGATGCTGCTTTCAGAGCAGTGAAAGAGGGAAGTTTTGAGGTCTCATAAGCAAAGGGCAGTTAACTGCATGCTCATGAGGGGTGTGCATATGTGCGAATGAGAGTGAAACGTTTATGTGTGGGAGTCAACAAAGAAGCCTGCGTTTAGCAGGGTGGCTGTGAAATAATTAAGTAAAAAGCCCTTGTCTCAGCAGTAGGGTTGGTCACTAGGACAAAATGTAAATTTCAATGTGAAGTCTTCTGTTCACCACACAGCATCCTGTTCCTAGCCTGAAAACAATATGCAATTTGGGGGTGGTGGTTGCATGTATGACTCTTGATACAGTTACTGTATCAACTTAGTACAACTTATTTTTTCTTGTTAGAATATTCATAAAAAAACTTCTGGGTTTTCCCTAACCAGAAAGTACAAAAAACTAAAAAATTGTCTTTCTAGTGCAGACAATGTCACACCCCCCCCCCCCGTTTTGTCTTTTGTAAGTGAAAATGAACAGGTTTGGTGAGGAGGCGGGAATGAAGTAACGCTTTCTTTCTGAAAGATCCCAAAGGCAACTATTATTGTTTACTTATGTTTGAAGACAGCACCTTTCTACATGAAAATGTACATTTGCTTTCCCTTGTCCAGAGTTTTCCATAACTCTGAAAAGGTGGTTTACAGCAGAGAGCTGTGGAAACATATTTTCTGATGTGCCTGTGAAGGTACCAAGAAGGGAGGAAAAACGAGAGAGACTGACCAAGGAAGAGCCCATGGGGTTTGCTGTTGGGAACACTCCAAGTATATTTGCTACTCTGTTTGAAAATGCTTGGCCTCCAGTCAGTAAGAGGATTAGCCTGTTGGTGAGTAAACTGAGATGATGCTTCATGGAACCGGGGCCCACAGCGAAAGGCAGCAAGGGATGGGAGCTCTCTGCAACCACTTTAAACACAGGCAGGTTAATCCACAAGCTGTGTGCAAGCACTGTGCACCAGCATCATGGGGCCCACCACCTGGGTGCCCAGAGCTTCCATTTGGCCTGCCTTATGCATCTTGCATGCATTTTTGTGGGTGGTGTCCCTTGCTGATGTTTATGGATTTCCAAAGAAAAAAGAAAGAAAGAAAGAAAGGAAGGAAGGAAGGAAGGAAGGAAGGAAGGAAGGAAGGAAGAGAGAGCAGTGTCAGCTAAGAGGAAATGCACCCAATACTCTTTAATTTCATGCTTTAGCTTTAACACAGCTGGGAGGGGGTTGGGGAGAAAGGACCTGGTGGACTTCATAAGCAGACTGTGAATGGGAAAGGGCCATAGCTCCATGGCAAAGCATCTGCTTTGCATGCAGAAGGTCCCTGGTTCGATCCCTGGCATCTCCAGGTAAGGCTGGGTGAGATTCCTACCTGAAAGACTGGAGAGCTGCTGCCAGTGAGTGTAGACAAGACTGAAACAGATGGACCAATGGCCTTGACTGAAGCAGTTTCCTATGTTTCTATGAAAGCAAAAGGGCAGCAAGTGAGGAATCTCTTCCTGCCAGGATAATTTGCCATCTATTCTGCTGGGAACCACCCAGAGATCTTCAGGTGCAGGGCGGTATATACTTATTTAACAAATCATCATCACCATCATCATCTGCTTGTCAGTGTCTTCTTGGCAGCTAGTCCCCCCCCCACCAATCTCCAGGTGTCATTGGGAGAACAGCAGAGGTTTGAACCCTGACAGTGTTGTACTAGGGCTCATTGTCAGGTTCAGGCTTAGAATCATAGAATTGGAAGAGACCACATGGGCCATCGAGTCCAACCCCCTGCCAAGCAGGAAACACCATCAGAGCACTCCTGACATATGGTTGTCAAGCCTCTGCTTAAAGACCTCCAAAGAAGGAGACTCCACCACACTCCTTGGCAGCAAATTCCACTGTCGAACAGCTCTTACTGTCAGGAAGTTCTTCCTAATGTTTAGGTGGAATCTTCTTTCTTGTAGTTTGGATCCATTGCTCCGTGTCCGCTTCTCTGGAGCAGCAGAAAACAACCTTTCTCCCTCCTCTATGTGACATCCTTTTATATATTTGAACATGGCTATCATATCACCCCTTAACCTCCTCTTCTCCAGGCTAAACATGCCCAGCTCCCTTAGCCGTTCCTTGCTTGAAAGGCAAATAATAAACTCAAGGCATGGGAAGCTAGACTCAGGTGTTAAGATAGGGGCAGTTAAGGTGAGGGACACACAGGAATATCAAGCTTGGAGCACTCAGAGAACAGTGCCCTCCACATGCCTTATCTCTGCAGTCTTATCTCTTATCTCCAACTGTCCCTGCCTCCAAAGACTAATGAAGAGGAAAAGGCAGCCATCAAGCAGCACTGACAGCTGGATGGATGGATGGATGAAAAAGGGGAAATTATGCAGCCGTGGAGAGTGACACTGTACTTCCAAAAGTTGGGCATGTGACCTTGAGGTGTACAAGAACTATCGGGCCTTTAGTGTCCAAATGATGGATTATGGGATGCCAGTGAAAGCAGACGAACATGACTGGGAAGAAAAGAATCATTAAGGTTTGCTTGTAAGTTCTGCATGGAGGGTATTTTATCTGCAAGGGACGCCTTACAAACAGGACAGGATCAGAGAGATATCAGCTCAGCTTCCCATGGAACTTTCAGCTGCTGCTTCAAGGATGGGAGCAAGACAAAATGACTGGAGAACAGCTGGGTGCATTTCCCTCTGAGCTGGCCCTTAGCCTTCTCCCTAAGCTGCCTTGGAAAATGTAGCAGCATTGGAGACAGGACCAAAGCTAAACAACATTTGAGGCCAAGGAGTTCACCATTTCCTGTCTCAAACTGAGTTTTTAAAAGCATCTGAGCTGTTAGACAGTTAAATTCCACTATTGGCCTGAAAAAATGCATGCCCTTTAATGTATCTGCTTACAGATGAAGCTGCAAGGTAGAGCAGAACCATTATCTTTGGTTTACAGATGGAAAGCTGAGGATGGAAAGCCGAGGAACTGGCAGGTCTGTTTTCAAAGGCAAAGACTGCTTTCCAGTGCCTCCCTTCTTTTGGCTTGCAAAAGAGGGTAGCTTGCCAAAGATTCGGTCTTTTAAAAAACACAAATCCGCTGCAAGCTACCAGGTTAGGTTCACATTTCTTGCCTGTCCAGATTTATTGAGGGTTGCCAGGAATGCAACAAAATCAGTCACTGTCTACTTGCAAATGTCAGGTTACACACCAGCCAACATTGAGGATGAACCGTGTGTGTGTGTGTGTGTGTGTGTGTGTGTGTGTGCAGTGCACCCCCCCCCAACCTGGCATATTTGGCAGTTGCGAGGCCTTGTGATAGGAGCTTCTAGGCAAGTTTTGAATCCTACTCTGTCTGCAGGCTCAATAAATCTCTTGGCCCTGCCCTTGATCAAACACAGAGGCTATGGCAGAGCTGCAAACATTGAATGAGATACCCCCAGGCAACATCACTGGGCTATCCTTTTTTATCCAGGCACATGCTGAAATAAAATCCACTGCTGGTCCTTTCCCACTGGAACCAGCCTCAGTTCTCACAAAGCATGTGAAAGTTGCATTCTTTACTACTACTACTACTACTACTTATTATTTCATGTCATTTCTTTATCACTTTATATTTTTAAGGAAAAAACCCTCAAAGAAGTTTACAACAAATTAAAACATCAAATAAAACAATCCAGAATCAAACATCAAATATAAAACATACATTCAAAGCAGCATAATTAACAGGGAACTAAAATACCACCTTAAAAGTTTTCAAAACAAAACATTACAAAGGGATCAACTATGGAATGCACATTTAATGTGGCCAAGTAAAAAAAAAAAAGGTAAAGCTTTCACTGGTTCAGGGCTGGGAGTTGGGCACAGCCTGTTCTATGAGCCATCCTTCCCCTCCCCCTTGCTGGAGTTTTTAATCCTGCGATTAAGAAACACAGTTTGCGGTTGCCTCCCCCACCTTCTCCTGTGATCATTACTTATGGATTACCTGTTTTAAATGCAGTACAGGCAGGTTAATGAATTCCCAATGGTTTCCAGAGGGCTTGGGAATGAGACCCAGCACAGTGGGATAGAGTACCCAGATCCATGTGCCAAGGCAACGAGGTCCGCTCTTGGAAGCGTGAGAGATAAGTGCGCCACCATGCCACAGATTGGCAAATGGGCAAGAGGGGAAAAGGAGGGCAGAAAGAAGCTGCAAGATGTTCATTAGCCATGATTATCTGGCGAGCCAAGTCAAGATGTAGGAACAGAGGGGCCCAGGGCAGGCTTTCAAAGAGAAGCTTGCGATAGCAGGGCCAATGTACTCTGGATTGGATCATTGACGAAGGAACAGTCCAAGCTTTCGCCTCGCAGTCTGGGTTCATGGGAAGATGTTTCTCTTGAGGAAACAGTCTCTACTGTTCTCAACATGGATGGTGTTTATATTTGTCTATAATAAACACTGACAAAATAGAAAGAATGACGACTCAGGTCAAAAGAACAGATTGCCATCCAAGTCAAGAGAGGGCTATTCTATATGACAGTTTTTACAAACTGAGGGCCACATTCCTTCCTGCACAACCTCCAGTGGGGCCACATGCCGGGGGGCGGACACCAGAAGCAAAAATGGGCAGGGCAACAGGTGCACATTTCATGGTTATCAAGTAGGATAGTTTCGCACATATTCTCACACCCCTTTTGTTCTCCATCGAGGCAAGAAGCAGGCATGATCAGAATTCAAGGGTGCATTCAAGCCAGCCAGAAACAAGGAATGTGCAGAGTAGGGCTGTTGATGAGTGTGGCCTGGGGAGAGGTCCAAGGGCCAGATAGTGAAGACTGGAGGGATGTATTTGGTCCCCTGGGTCTGAGGTTCCCCACCCCTAGTTTGCAGTTTTGTCTGGCTATGTCAAGATTGAGATTTTCATGGCACCATCTGGCCCCAAATCTCCAGATGGTTAAATTCAGACTGCTTTATCAAGTTTGCACACAACATTAGAGCATAACCATATACCAACAGATGGCCCACCACACTGGCAAAATTCTAAAGGTAACTCAGCAAGGTAACTTAAAATTCTATGTTCTTTAAAGTATGCACGTTGGCAGACTGTATGCATTCAATATTTATACCTTAGTCAGTTAAAAAAACAACAATGATTTCTTCATAGCAATTAACTACAGTAGCAGAAGGTAATCCCCCCCCCCAAAAAAAGATAGCCAAAAACATGAGGACTAGAAACCAGCTTTATTTTCATGTAGTGTTTGCAAAGTGGGTTTGCAAGGTGCAAGGATCCCCTAAAATTCCTGGGTGCCAGGCTCTCCCCATAATTTCTGAAATCTGCAAATATGGGGTTTGATCAATGGATTTAGCAAGGTCCCAAAATAAGTCAAGCCAGCTTCCTCAGGAGACTGGCTGAGAGAGGTGCCATCAAAGAACAAAACAGGTGATGGCAGAGTCATTACCCCGACATTCAGTGTCAGACAAGAAATGGGGTAGAGCCCCATCCCCAGCTGTGTATGAGTTAGCAAAAGACAATAGCAGAGTTGGGAAGGGGAGATTGCCAGGGTGACAGGAGGCATGACAGCACCACAGAAAAAGTGCCCTTTTTTTGCACAATGCTTGGGTTGCTGTTTTAGCAAGGGTTTGGGGAAAGAAGGGTGGGGCCAGACACCATGCAGGCTTATGGGCAGATATGCTGTCTGCAGAAGACACAGAGATGGCGTTTTGGCTGCCTCTGAATCCAATGCTGCACTGCTGTGGGGAGCAAGCCCCTCTTGAGATGATCGGAACCCTCTCTCCATCCAGACTCAGGTGTGAATATGTGTAAATAAACCACATTTCATTAAGACACAACAGCCTCCACTGTGCCTCATATTTCCCAAAGGAGACACAAACTGGTTAAATGACAAGACCCCTAGAATCTTGCACCACTTGGCAGAGACTGGGATGGCAAGTGATAGTATAAAACCTGAGCACACCACACCGCTGAATAGCAGTTGCTAGGAATTGCTAGTGGGGTGAGTGCTATAATGTTTGGGTCCTGCTTGCAGCCGATTGGCCACTGTGAGCCCAAGATGCTGGACAGGTGGGCCCAATCCAGTAGGCTCTTTTTATGTTATTATGTTCACCACTGCCAAATGTATACTGCATGGGTTCTAATGATCCACCACTCAAGCTGTGGTAAGTTTTGTTCTGCTGTTGGTGAATTATGGACCTAATATTATTGGTTGGCACCTGACACCCTCAAAAAAAGGCCAGCAATATGTTTTTGGTTGGCTTTTCTTTTCTTTTTTTAACAAAAGGTCACACATGCTAGAAAAAGCCAAGCGGTTGAATGCTCCTTCTGAGTAGCTGGGTAACATGGACAAGGGACCTTCTCTCCAACATGGCTGTGGTGGA